GGGCATCCGCCGCGCGCTGAAGGCGCTCCGACACCCGTCGCGGTGCGACGACAAGGCGAGGCGGACCCCCCGTCGGACGTCGGGGGGGTACCCCCCCACGCGTATTGAGAAACCCCGGTACCTTGCTCGCCCCCACCCCACCCCCCGATGACGCTTGTTGAGAAACCCAAAATACCTTCTCTGCTGGGCCTATTCTCCTCCACCGCCACCATACGCTGGATGGGGGAAGGAGGAGAAGGAGGAGGAGGAGGAGAAGGAGGAGGAGGAGCACGAGGAGGAGGAGGAGGAGGAGGGGGAGGAGGAGGAGGAGGAGGACCATCACTCTCCTGCGCCTCGCGCCCCCTCCCGCCCGCCCGCCTGCCACGAGCGCCAGCGCCCACGGCGGCCGCCCCATGGGGCCCGGCGGCCCAGCCCCGGGGCGGTCTGGCGCCACAGTGCCCGCCTGCAGCGCCCAGGCGTGGCGCCGCCGGCTGGGACGACGACGACGACGACGACGACGACGACGACGACGACGACGACGACGACGAGCACGAGCACGAGCACGAGCACGAGCACGAGCACGAGCACCACGACGACGACGACCACGACGACGACCTCCGCCACCACCACGACGACGACCACGAGGACCAGAACCACGACCACGACCACGACGACCCACGACCACGACCACGAACCCGACGACGACACCGACGACGATGGAGACGACGACGACGTCGGAGACGACGACGACGTCGGAGACGTCGACGACGACGACGATGACGACGATGACGACCACGACCACGACCACGACGAAGACGACCGCGACGACGCCCGCGACGACGATAACGATGCCGATCTTGGCAATGCTTGGCACACTTCAACGCTACCCTTCTCCATGGGCTCCGGCAAGGCGCGGATGCGGACCGACAGTAGCAGACCACCGGCTGCCTGCCACAAAAAGCCCCCAGAGCGCCCAAGAAACGGCCTCGACCCTCGACCCTCGACCCTCAATCCCCCCCCCTTTTCTGTCGGAGGGACGTACGGTTGGCTTCGTGAAGATAGCGTCCAACATCGATATTCGAAAAGCACTGTATCAATTTTTACCTGCCTGGAACATATCCCTATCCCTATGCTGGGCACCTGCTCATCACGATGCCAATCTCAGGGATTCCCTTGTTTTTTGAGGGCGAACTCACAAGATTGTCGTCGCCTTTTGGCGTGTCAATCTTAGGGATAGGGATACGTTCGAGGCTGGTAATTTTTGGGACCCGAAGAGGGCACCTTTCTCCCCTCCCATGCATCGTCCACCCATGACTTCGCGCCCAACCTCCGCTCTTTGGGCTGCCTCCGAGAACGCTGGCCTCGGCCTTCGAGTGCGACATCTCCGGCGAGGGGTTGGGCGCAGGCTCTCGAGCAGTGGCGAAGCGTCCGGAGCCCCCTTGAGGGCGATTCCCCCGGGAGGGCGATTCCCCCGGGAGGGCCCCGTCTGCGAACGCCATCCCCTTGCGAGGGCCTCGTCGGCGCACGCCATCCCCCTGCCAGGGCTTCCTCGGTGCACGCCATCCCCAAGATTGGGGGGATAGCGTGTCATGGGCGGACCAGCGGCGCCATGTCGCACGCTGTCTCTGTAGCGCCAGGGGCCTCCCTGTGGGAAAACACACACTGTGGGAAAACACACACACACGCTGTGTTGTTTGTTAAAACACACACACACACACACACACACACACACTGTGTGTGTGTGTTTTCCCACAGACTGTGTGGTTTTTCCTGTGCTTTTTTCCAACAGGGGTCGGAGCAAATGGGGTCGAAGGATCGCACCGCATCGTCGACGCATCACCGATGCACGGGCGACGTCGGCGATGCACTGGCGATGCACGGGCGACGTCGGCGATGCCTCGGAGCCGCCGGCGTGGAGAACATCGGGCTCCGCATCGAGCAACATCGCCGATGCATCGGCGATGCGGCGCAATCCTCTGACAGATCTACTCGGACACGGTCTCGGATGCCTAGATCCAATCGGAAGGACGCAGAGTTAGGTCGGACATGTCCTCCTACAGGCGGAACTTGGAAGAATAATAGAACATAGTCAAACACACTCACACATCATGATAAAAAAACATTATATCAGAAAATCGTCACTGAACTGTTTTTGTTACCTTGAATACTCCTCCTGTCAAAGGACAGGCCTGACTTAAACGTAGAGGTGGGGCATGGGCGAAACTCTGGTCAGAAGGAAATCGCTGGAAGACAAGACGGAATGTTTGTGCTGCCCTCTGCGGCGCCTGGGGCCCCCTGGCTCGGCCGCATGGGCCGCCGACAGAAAGGCTCTGGCTGAAAAGCCGCTTCCCGAGGAAGAAGTCGAGGCACCCGAGGGTCCACGGTGTGGTGTCCTCGTCGTCGTTGGTCGTCGGTGTCAGTGTCTTCGTCGTCGGTGGCCGGTGGTCGGTGGTCAGTGATCGGTCCTCCGTCGTCGTCGTCGTCGTCGTCATCGGCGTCGTCGTCCTGGCGAAGGACCCGATCGAATGTAGGCCTGAGTATTGCACGGTAATTAGGTGGGATGCAGGGGGAGCTCCGCATGGGAGCCATGAATCATGCGAGGGGCGTGCCGAACAAAGAGGGAGACGCGGGGCGCTGCGGATCCAAAACGGGAAGCCGACACCACAGGACGGTTGGGGACAACGCAAAACAGCTCGTTGCCTGAGCGCCGCCGCCAGATCGGAGGGGGAGCACAAGTCGGGCGCAACCCCTCAGAACTGCCAGGGCATGGGTTGCTTCAGGGGTTGCACTGTTCGTGGGTTGCGCAATGTATTGCGTGGTCCCAGATTTTCACCAACAATTGCGCCACGGCCTTGCGCCATAGGTTGCAAAATCCACGGGACGTGCCGTAGACTTCGCCATGAGTTGCTTGCGCCTCCTCCATAGGTTGCGCACTCGGCAACAGAACGTAAAACTGTGCGACAACGGTGGCGCCACAGATTGCGCACTTGGCTGCATCGGTTACGCCATCGGTTCCACTCTCGGACGCCAAATACCAAACGGCGTGCTAATCGTAGCGCCATGGCATGCGCGCAATTGGCAAGATACCACCAACCAGCATGCCACTTGCTGCGTCGCCCTCGGCTGCAATACACAACGGCCTGCTATTGGTGCTATCGGCTGCAGGGTATAACAAAAACCTGATCATGGGTTGCACCCTGAGTTGCGCTCGCAAGCGCTGGATATAAGATGGCGTGCTTTGAATGGCGCAAGCGTTTGCGCACTGGGCTGCATTATATATAACGGCCTGCCGTTGATTACGTCATACGTTGCACACTCAGATACAACACATGCATCCGTCTGCCACTGGTTGCGCTAGGGGCTTTGCACTAAGAAACATATATCATACGGCAAGCGTACGGTTACACCATGTGGCGCACTACGTTGCGCACGCGGTGGAAGAACGTCAAGTACCCTGCTATGGTTGCGCTTTGAGATGCGCCCTCGGCTGCGGAACATCAGCACTCTCGACTGCTCAACATACAACGGCCTGCTATTGGTTGCGCCATCGGCTGCGCACTCGGCAGTAACAAAACCACAAACACGGCGTGATATTAGTCACGACATAAATTGCTCTTGGATGGCGAACGAAAAAGGCGCTATCAATTGGTTGTGAACTCGACGGCCAACACAACAAACGTCGTACTCGTGTCAGAAATTGCGCTCTCGGCTACACACATGAAACCGGCCTGATCACGGGTGCGACCAATACGGCGTCAGTGATCGTGGGCGGCAACGACGATCGAGTTTCGAAGATTGATGTGTTTGAACGCACTTCGATCCTTCTGGGCCTTCGGAGGACTCTTGAGGACTCCGGGGAGATCTGGAAGCCCATACAGCCCTCCCATGACCCATTCAGGAGGGCAGGTAAGAATGAGAAGGAGGGGCAAAATAGGGGGAGAATCGCCACTGCCGACGACCTCGTGACCTGTTCGATCCTAGCTGTGAGTCTTTCTATTGCGAGTGCCAATGCGCAATCTTACTTTCTGGTAAGCGGCCGTGGACGCGCTCCGAGGCGGTCGGCCAGCACGGGGCGCCCGACAACGAATTAGGCCCGACGCGCAAAAATATGAAGGCTGATGGACAGCCGCAGAACCGGGAGAAAAGAAAAGAGGACTCAACATTTACGCAATATCACACTCAATCTGTGAACAAGCTAAACGTTTCGCCGGCTCAGGCAGAAGAGCCCAGAATTGAACCGCCAAGTCGGCTCGGCGATCGAAATGAATCGGATCGGCGGAAATTGGCAGCCAAGTCGGAAGACGTCGAGTCGACATAACTCGGCAAGCTGGTAGGCCTCCACCCAGGAATCGTCGAAATCCAACTCGGAATCCGAATTCAAATCGAATCGGAATCGGAGGCCATCGAACTCGAATCGAATCGAATCGGAAGAATCGAAACGAGCCCTGCTCAGGTGCGCGCATACGCACGCGTGCGCGCGAGCTCTCGAGCACACGCGTGAACACTCACGCGCACACACACCAACAGATGTACCGCTGCCGCACGTTGTTCGAAGGATGGCGACGCAGAAACACCCAGGAGTGACGATGCAAGCAGAAGATCGGCAGCTAGGCCAGACCCTGGAGAGGACGACCAAAGAATCCGAATGACGTCGACGGTGCCCACGAGCCGAGCAAACCCAAAACCCAATGTCTTGAATCACTGCCCAGAGAGAGCTGCTGTGTGACGGCCCCCGCGGTCATCTCTCAACTGTCATCCTACATTGATGGGCGCTGCTACGGTACAGGGACACACTGAGTGGACACACTCCCCCGCTCCCCAAAGCTCAAGTTGGCGCGCGCGGGGAAGCCTGCGGTCGAGGTGCAGCTCGGTCAACCCACCGCCACCATTGATCATTGGGGGGGGCACTGATAGATGAATGCGGCATACATGTTCGCTAATGTCTTCCGAGGTCTGTATCTCCTCTCCATCATATTTTGAGAGCGGCCACGAGACAGAAGCCGCTCGCCGCACACAACATTCTAACACTGCAGCTGCAGACCCGAGGCTTCCATCTCCGTGAACCTGTTGACGAGCCCAGGCAGTGTCCACGCCCTGCCCTGCCACTCGATGAGTTCCTCGGTCAGGAAGGGTGCCACATGCTCCTGCACCGCCTGAGCCAGCATAGCAGATATGTTCAGTTCAAGGTCAGCGCCTCTCGCGCAAGGCATAACCAAAGACCCATTCTCTAGTGAGAAATCAACGTTGTATCTAAACCGCTCCGCGAACATGTCCGCAATATCGAATCCAGTATTTGCTGACATTCCGAAAACCTTGACCTTGATGGGCATCTCCCCAACGTGGACGGACACTACGCGTGGAAGCTCATTGCTTGAACAATTGTTCATAATGCTGAGCCGCCAGGGGAGGTTGCTCCACTCCTGAGGGAATCTGAAGGCATGTGAATTGACGGTGAGCTGTATCTTCTCCCAGTCGCCCTCGAAATCAAAGAACAAGTCCGACGAATTAATCCGAAAACTTGCCGATGAGATGCGCATCGTGTTGACGCCCTCGACGTAGTGCACCTGGGAAGTCGCACCCCGCACCAACATCATTCCCAGATTCTGTCCCGCAACGTCCCTACCGCTGCTGAGGCCTTCACCCTAGCAACCGTGGTTCTTAGCAACCCTCCTGATCCTGATCCTTAGTTGTTACCCTTCGGCGTGTGTGGTCGCTGCTGCATTATACACTATCCCGTTATGATCGGTTATGTTTTGTTCTAATCACATGCGGCTGATTCCTGTGACCAACCTTACGTCGGCTTGCATGTTGCATTCGATGGGGCGACATGAGTCGGTCGCTGCTGTGCTCGACTGTCTTGGAATATATTATATTCACTCTGTTCGGTTTGTCTATTATTTGAACCGTCACCGTGCCCTGATGGTACGAGTTGGAGTGCCCCCAATTTCCTTGCTCAATCCCCTGGACCCTCACTCCGCAATCCTGAAATTCATTTCAAAGGCCCTGGCCCAACATTCTCAAATCGTCCAGGATTTCTCGCGTGCCGCCTGGAGTTCCAGGAGTGCACTCGCACTCCTTTTCCGGGCCTAGGAGGGGACCAAGACGGGCGGCCAAGAGACCCCCAACAGCACGCCCAGACAGTCCAGGGGTGCACCGAATCGCTACACGACATGTCGAAGATGCTCAAGGTGGATCCAAGATAACGCAAGAAGCCTTCGAGACGCCCCAAGAGAGCCCCAAGAGCCTCCCCAAGAGGGCCCCAGAGGCCAAAAAGCATAGATGTTCTTTAGATGTGTTCGATGTCGTTGGGATCTTCCACTTTTCGAACGTCCGACGCTCCAAGAGATCCCGAGAAGCCCCCAAGACGGCCCCAGGCCGGCCCAAGAGGCGCCAAGAGAGCCCACCGACGGCGCCAGAGAGTCCCAAGACGGCCCGAGAGGAGCCCACAGATGGCCCCAGAGGGCCCCAAGACGTCGCAACAGGGGCCCGAGAGGGAGAGCACGAACTGAACATCCGAGCTCTCCGCCGCAACAGGCTCGCAGGAGGCCCCAAGAGGCCAATGGGCCCTCAGATTGCCCCAAAAGGCACCCAGGAGGTTACAAAACTGTCTCCAGGGAGCCGACGAGAGGCTTCCCGAGAGAGCCCAACGAGCAGCCAAAAGACCTCCCAACGAACAGCCAAGCGACCCCGACACAATGCCCACAGAGGGGCCCGAGAGGGGCAACATGCCATGCAATCTCGAGCTCTGAGATGGCTCACATGCAACGATCGGCTTCGCGCGGTACATGCTTGGCACCACTTGAGGCGTTCCAGCGAGATGTTTCAGGTGGTACTGGCGAGGCATCAGTGCAAGCATACACGCGGTATGATCCCAGTGGCACTTGAGTGGTACGATGTGAGGCTTACGTACGATATGACTGAAGTGGTACTTGATAACTACCACGTCAGGCATACAGACGAGATATATGACGATATGCGTGCCTGGTACCACCTGGCGCATACAAATACACGGTGCGACTACAGAAGGTACGTACCCCTTGACGCAAACCGATGTTGTGACTCACGTGGTAATTGCTCGGTATCACGTGGGGCATACAGACGCGATGGTCGATGGCTCACGTGGCACTTACTTGGTATCAACCTGGTACGACTTGAAGCAGACAAGAGAAATGAGCCCAGTGGTACATACTCTGGCTTTGCACCAGCCTGGTGGTACCAAATGCATACAGGCAACATTGCCGTTTCATCCAAACAGACGATGTGCATCAAGAGGTGCGTGCTTGGTATCACTTCAAGCATACAGGCAAGATGCCTCAAGCGGTACCTGCTGGGTACCACTTCAGGCATGCAAGCGGTGTGTCACATGGTTTTTCCTTGGCACCACGCATAGAAACGACATGACCCAAACTGCAATCGCTGTGTACCCGCGCAGCCAAAAACATGATCCGCCTCAAATGGTATTTGCTTGGTACCACTTGAAACATGCAGACGATATGGCTCTAATGGTACCTTTTTACGGTACCGTTTGAGGCATCCAAACGGTATGACTCCTGTGGTCAAGGTGCATATAGGCTATATTTCTCTAGTGGTACATGCTGGGTACAAGTGGAGGCATGCAAATAATATGACTCACGTGGTGCATGTTTGATACCACTTGCCGAGTGCCGACGGTATGACTCAAATGGTACATGTCAGGTACCACGTGTGGCGTCCAGGCGATATAACTGATGTGGTTATTGCTTGGTACCACTGCAGGCATATAGGCGATATGTTTCCAGAGGCACAGACTGGGTACAAGTCGAGGCATGCAAATAACATGACTCGCGTGGTCCATGGTTGGTACCACTTGACGCATGCAGACGGTATAACTCAAATGGTACCTGTCAGGTACCACTTGAAACATCCAGGCGATATGACTAAAGTGGTTTTTCCTTGGTGCCACTTCAGGCATATTGACGACATGCTTCCAGTGGCACATGCTTGGTACCAGCGGAAGCATGCAAACGATATGTTAATGGTACTTGCTCCGTACCGCTTCAGGCATGCAGACGATGTAACGAAAGTTGCACGTACGTGGTAATACTTGAAACATGTGCGCTCCGAGCGTTGCGATTGCTATCGCGAGAGCCTGCACCGATAAGTCTTACGATCCCGCCCTAATTCGGAGGAAGAAGCAGAGGACAACTGCGACACATTGGTTGCGAAACTACGTTGGCTACTGCTCCTGTTCTTTGGTGGTGCGGACCTTGTTGCACGCGGACAAGATGATGGGAAAACGCCGTCTCCAAAAAATATCCAAGCGAAAACCAACATCAAATACTATTGTGACAGCCAGGTTGTGGTCATTGCCTTCGGTGTGTCCTGTCATGGGTGGGGTCGACGCCTGCGACCGTGGCCACTGTGGTCTTCGGTGGCGCTTCCTACGCGGCCACGAAGCGCTGCACGTACCTGGCGGGAGATTCGCGTGCGGAAGCGGCCACTGGTGCATTCGGACGAGCTCCCTATGGGGCCAAAATGCGCTGGAACGGGGCGGGGGGGCGCATGCGACCTTTGCCACTGGGGCTTCCGCTGGAGCGCACTATGGGGCCACGAAGCGCTGTAATGGGCGGGGGGTATGAACTTATCAAAGCCCCCGAAGTCTTTGATCGCATTGAGAATAAGAAACCAGAAGAACATCTGATATGTTTTCCACAACGCGCTCTGTCTGACTCAAGGGCCCTGCCACAATCCAGGGCCGAAACGGTTGCGGGCTCGTGCTATACAAACACGCACGAGCATGCACACTAGATGTACAGCGTATATTTCACACCCGTAAAACAGTGAAAACAACTGAAACAGAGAGACGCCTTCCTTCAATCTGAAATATAACAAATCCAAAATAAACATACCTATGATTGCATGAACAAAAAAACAAATAAACGGCATTAGAATGCGTGAGGAAGTATAACTAACCCAACGCTACAATAAACAATACCAAAGTACCGCACTGCATGTCTATAATTCTCGAACAACACTACGTACATAAACTCTCGGGCGGCTAGCAATCAAAACCGCAACGAAGAAATAATAATATTAGCTGTGGGCCTCACTTGTGAGCTCGAAACTCTTCTGTCAACTCTGGCTCGGTCGTCACCTCGCCCGCTCTGCGAAAACCCTGCGTCTGATGCTGAAGCCTCCATACGTCTCCGCTGAACTTGCACGTAGTCATGCTCTGCACTCCCACCGCCCCGGCCGCGCGCAGGTCGTTCGACGAGCCGCCGCGCTCGTCACCTGGTGGTCCCTTTGGTTCGCTCTCCTTCTCGATCCGCTCCTTCTCGGCCTTCGCCCGTAGAACCGCCAGCTCCGTCTTGCATTTGCACTCAGTCTCCTTGATCTCGATCAGGTAGGATGCAACAGGATGGGCTCCACATAACCCGAGGAGTAGGAAGAACATGGAAAACCAGATCACAATACCGTAGCCGTCGTTCTCGTCCTTCATGTCGTAGCCTGAACGAGCCGCCGATCTGCAACAGCAAGTTGCGAATACCGCCAACTGCATGAATGGTGTCGTCGCCTGCCGAGCGGCCGCCGACGTCACCGGCCTAGTCTGATCTATGCTCTCCTGTCGCTCTTCCTTGGTCTTCTTCGCCGCCGTGTAGTTCGGGTCGTGCTAATGTCCACGAAGATGTCGCTGAGCTTCGCCTCCGTGCCGTCGAACTCCCAGCCGAATGGCAAATCCTGACTGGTGACCATCAGCTGTAAGGCTGCGAGTTCGTCGTCAGCATCGTCGAGGTTCGGTACTGGCACCGCGCTGCTCAGTCCAGTGTCGGGTAGAGTGCAACTGAAAGACTCCTCCTCCAGGTCTGGTGAAAATCGCCGCCTCTGGTTTGTCAATCCTGAGCCGCTCTTTCTGAAGATTTGAAATAGGCCTCGACTGCGTCTGTGTCGATCCGAGCTCCTGCTCCGATGATGGTGCTGCCGCCGCTGATGACGATGGTGCTGCTGGCTGCGCTGTCTGCGTTGGCTGTGCTGTCGGTTGAGCTGCTGGCTGCCCTTGCTCTGGTGGGGGTGTCGTCGGCATCGGCTCCTGGTCTGGCTGACCAGAGTTCGACGTCTGTCGACTGCCGTTGGGTACTGGCGCCTCCGCGTCTGGAAGATCCTCCGCTGGAGCTGCCGCGGCTGGTGGCACCTCTGGTGTTGCTGAAGCTGCTGCCGCCGCTGACACGGATGACGATGCCTCTGTTGGTACCTCCACCACTGGGGCCGTCCTAGGATCAGGACCTCCTCCTCGACGTCGCTTAGATGCTGGACCTTCGTCTCCGTCCTCCGCGTCGTCGTCGACGTCCATGTCCGAGTCGTCCGGTGCGTCGAACGGGGGTTGCTGTGAGCTAATGTCGTGGTACTGCGTCACGCCCGTCCTCCGCATACTGCCCAGTGCATCCTTGGCCTGGGTCAGGTTCTCGAGTAGAACGCACCCTTGATCACTCACGTCTGGCCGAGCGTGTTCGGGTGCACACCGTAGTAGCTGCGTGCCGTGAACGATCCAGTAGATGCGTGGTTCACTGTCGTCCTGGCGCATCTCCTTGAACACCGCGACTGCGGGGCCCTTCCACTTGTTCTTGATCAGCTTGTTAGTCTTGCCCTCGCGCCAGTAGTAGCACCGCTGGCCGGTGGACAGATCGTGCTTGAGCGCCACGTGTCGCCGCAGGAGTGCGCGTCGTAGTTTGGCCGAGGCGTCCGCCTTCATGAAAGCTAACGCCGCCATAGACCTCCTTTCCAGCACGTCCAGCTTTCTAGAATTTTGCCACTGGGCCCTTCGGTGGAGCTCCCCGTGGGGCCACGAAACGCTCTACTGGGTGTAGTGGGCGCGTGCGAACTTTGCTACTGGGACATTATGTGGAGCAAGGGGCCACGAAACGTGTGGAAGGTGCGCCGAAACGGGTGGCGCGAACGCATGCAAACTGCTCCACGGGGACCTTCGGAGCTCCATAGACCCACGAAGCGCTGTTCTGGAGGGCGAGGGGGACACATGCGAACTTTGCCAAGGGTGCCTTCGGAGGGCTCCCTATGGGGCCACGAAGCTGCTGGGTCGGGGGGACGCATGCGAACTTTGCCACTGGGGCATTTGGTGGAGGTCCCATTCGGACTAGGAAATGCTGTGCTGGGCGCGGGGGTCCCACGCGAACTGCGTCAACGGGGCCCTCGGTGGAGCTCCCTTTGAGACCACGAAGCGCTGTGCTGGGTGGGGGGGGGCGCATGCGAGCTCTGCCTCCGGGGCCTGTGGTGGGGCTCCCTATGGGGCCACGATGTGTGTGTGAGGGGTGTGCCGAAATGGTTGACGCGCGGAGGGCAGGGGCCAGGATGGCAGGAGGGAGAAGGGAGGACGATGAGGAGGATGAGGGGGAGCAAGAGAAGGGAAGAACGCAAGTCGCTGTCACGTAAAAACGAAGACCCAACACCACCAAATATTTGGGGAATTACATTGGCGCGGACCCCAACCATATGCAAGCGTAGGTACATCCTATGGAACCACGAACCGTGTTAGGGGCCTGCCGACATGGACATGCAGTGGCCGGGGAGCAGCTTGCAAACCCTGGTACTGGGGCCTTCGGTGGAGCTCCCTCTGGGGGCACGAAACCTGAAGGTCTGCCGAAATGGGCGGCGGGGGCGCCTGCGACGGGCGCCAGATGGGCCTGTGGTGGAGCTTTCTATGGGGGCGCGAAACGTGTGAGGGGTGCGCCGAAATGGGCACCTGGGACGGATGCAAGCGGTGGGATTCGGACCTTTCGGTGGAGCCCCTTATGGGACTACGGAACTCGGTGGGGGGTGCACCGAACTGGGTGGTGGGGCCGCATGCGGGCGGTGGCACTGGGCCTTCGCTGGGGCCCCCCATGGGGCCACGAAGAGTGAAGAGTATGCCAGAATGTATGGCGGGGGCGTGTGCGGACTTCGCCACTCGGACATTCGGTGGAGCCCCGTGTGAGGCCACGATGCGTATAGCGGTGTGCCGAAATCGGTGGCGGGACCGCATGCGAACTGCACAATTGGGACCGTCGGAAGTCCCTCTATGGGGCCACGAAGCGTGCGAGGGGTGTGCCGAAATGTGTGGAGGTGACGCATGTGAATTGCGCCTCTAGGATATTCGGTGGGGTTCCCTACGGAGCCACGGAGCTTTTGCGACGGGTGTGCTAGGATGGCTGGCGTGGACGCGTGCGAACGCCCCCACTGGGATCTTCGGTGGGCGTCCACATGCCCATGGGGGCCACGAAATGTGTGAAGGTGTGCCATCATGGGTGGCGGGAGCGTATGCGGACTGCGCCACTGGGACCTTCGGTGGGGGCCCAATATGAAGCCACGAACCGTGCAGCGGTGTGCCGAAATGAATGGCGGGACCGCGTGCGAACTGCGCCACTGGGACCTTCGGGGGGGCTCCTTGTGGGGGCCACGAAATGTGTGAATGGTGTGACGGGATGGGTGGCGGGGCCGCATGTCAACTGCGCAAGTGGGACCTTTGGTGGACCGACCTCACTACGGGGCCACGACACGTGTTGCGAGGGGTGTGCCAGGATGGCTGGCGGGGACGCGTGCGAACTCCCCCGCGGGGATCTTCGGTGGATGTCCCCTATGCCATGGGGGCCACGAAATCTGTGAGGGTGTGCCATCATGGGTGGCGGGGGCGCATGCGGACTGCGCCACTGGGACCTTCGGTGGGGCTCAATATGAGGCCACGAAACGTGGAGCGGTGTGCCGAAATGGGGCGGGATGTTTGCAAACTGCGCCATGGCATTCGGGAAGCCCCCTATTATTGCTACGGCGAAGCAGTGGGGGGCTCAAAGCAAATCAGTAAGAACAGAAGGAAATTGCGAGCTTGGCGACGCGAAAAATCAAATGCTACATCAAACTTTGGCACGGCTTCACTTGTACACGGCTCCAGGATCTCGGGTAACCGCTAAGCGCTGTCAGATTTGTGTTGCAACAGATCACGCGCCTACAGGAATTCAGATGTTGCGCCGCCAGCGACAGCCATGCATCGCCAAAGGCAGGTCTACCAACCGACGGCGATGTCGCTGGATCCAGCAGCGGATGCCAGAAAAAGACACATACGAAGAAGAAAGCCACGAACAAGAAGACGCGGATGAGGCCTGGATGGCGGGATGGGACGAAAGCCACTAGAGATGGGCCAGCGGAGTGAGTGAAGCGATTCAATCTGGGCCAGATTACATGAGTGGTGCACCTACGCAGCATCTGTCTTTCTCGACAATGGTAGCTGCAAGAGCGCCGGGACCATAATCGCCTCCTGCTTCAGTTTGAGAGGCGTCAGAAGAGAGAAAGAGAGAGAGAGAGAGAAAGAGAGAGAGAGAGAGGGAGAGAGAGAGAGAGACAAAAAAAAGAGAGAGAGACAAACAAACACACAAGCAAGGCAATGGGCACGCAGAAGCAAGCTGAGTGCCCAGCAAGGGCATGTCCGAGCCCCGTCGGCTTGCCCCTGTGTGGCAAGCTGGCGAGGGCCGAGAGACCAGACAGTTACAACTCGAGGCGCGGCGCTCTGCATTGCGTTGCCACTTCGCCCAAGGACGCGGCTCTGAAGAGCCCGAGATTGATTGCTGGAAAGCACGCGAGCGCAGCCGAAGCTACGCGCGGGCTGCTGTCGAAATGGGCGTCGGCGTCGGAGGTGGCACTGATATTGCCAGAACATCACCCCGCATCCTCATCCCCGACAATGGGACAACTTTGTATTTGTCGATGGACATGAAATGACTGCTGGACTAAACCTGATGTCCAATCCGCTCCACGCCGCAGAATGACAACTCGTGACTGCGCGGACGTCCAGGCCTGGGCAATTGTCCGCTGAACAATACGGAGCCGCATACGCGACCCCCATATTCACGAAATGTGAGATCGTGACATTCTCAGCCGCGATGTCTGCCTGGAAGCCCAACCTCAAAGCGACGACCCCCTTGGTATGATGGCTCATTGCGTCCCCTTGGCAGTCGAAGTTGGTCTTCCACCTGCTGCGCTCTGTTCAGAAAAACTCAATGAAATGTCCAATTTCGTTGCAGGTCACTCCACCTGCGGGATGTGAGGGCCCCCCACAAAATCAGAGAAAGGACGTCCTTCGACACGCCCGCCTTTTGCAAAACGTCTCTAAAAACAGATGGCGATTTGCGCGCCCGTGAACGAGTTTCAGACACACGCGAAACAATTCGCCATCATCCCACGCCTGGTCGACACGGAACACGCCACCATCCCCGCCAACAGTCTTGTTACAATTGATTGGCCCATGTTGTCATTACCTGATCAACCTTACGTGTTCAATTATGGCTGTGAATATGTTTCAAAATAAAATGTTCTCCACCGTTCTCTCTTGGAATTCAAACGATGTGTCCGAACGAAAACCAAATCCATTGATAGCCACTCCGCTGCAATGAAGCAGAACGCCGCATATTGCTGAACCGTCTGGCCACGCGTTGCTGTCACCCATGACTGATGACAACGACCCCCCCTGA